TTGGACTTAAGTGATTCTCTTGCCTCAGTCTTCCAAGTAGCTGGGACTACAGGTACCCACCACAATGCCCGGCTATTTTTTTTGCAGTTGTCATTGTTTAGCTGGCCTGGGCTGGGCTTGAACTCATCAGCCTCAATGTATGTGGCTGGCACAATAACCACTGTGCTACGGGTGCCTAGCCAAAGCAAGATTTTCAAAGACTAAAGTTGTTGCTCCTTTTCCCTCAATACCCATCCAGGTCAAATGTATTGACTTCAAGAATAGTTTATAGAGCCTTCCATGTAGGTCTCACGGATAGAATGGAAAAACGTGAGTGGGAGGCAAGTAGAATGAGCTAAATCCACAGTAGACAGAATGAACTGCTCACAACATTCTTGACTTTTCCTATTAAACATTATTATCATGACCTGAAGAGGTGAATGGCAAACTAGGCTTGCAAATAGAATAAACCAATTTGCAAAAAGTACAAAGTAGAAAACTGACAGCTGGTATCACTGGTTGTATAATCGTTCCCTCCCTACCATCTTCTCATCTGCCTACATCAGCCTTTCCCAAAATATGTTCCACAAAATACTGCCCTGCAAATGAGATCTGCAAAATGGTTTTCCAAGTTTAAAACATCTGGAAAATTCTATATTTTCCTCCTTCTTAAAGAGTTACTAGCACACCAAAAGCTCTGAGAAGTCCTGTAAACAAACTTCTGTCCTGATTTAACTTAATATTTCCCAAACATTTGCTCATGAAACACTTTTGCACAGTAATCATTAACTGAAAACAGCCTAAAGTTTAGATCCCAAACCATGTTCAAATTTTCTATGCTAAGCTTGGTGCTCATAGCACAGTGGTTATGGTGCCAGCCACATACACTGAAGGTATACCCGGCCCAGGCCAGCTAGCCAACAATGACAACTGCAACAAAAAACAGCCAGGTGTTGTGGCAGGTGCCTGTAGTCCCAGCTACTTGGGAGGCTGAGGCAAGAGAATCACTTGAGCCCGAGAGTTGGAGGTTGCTGTGAGCTGTGATGCCATTGCACTCTGCTATGGGTGACATAGTAAGACTCTGTCTCAAAAAAAATTTTTCTATGCTAAAAAAATGATTCAATCCCTTTGAGCTACTACTGCCTCATCACTCTTCTTCCTCCAACTACCAAACTTTAAAAAACACACACCAAATTTGACACTTCCTGCTTCCTGTTTCCTCATCACCACTCACTTCTTCATCACACAGTATCTGGCTTCAGCCCCCAGTGCTCTACTGCAGTTCTTCTCATGGTATGAAAACTTACACAACTTGCAGAACTAATGGCTTCTCTCTGGCCATCAGTCTCTCTGCGGGGTCACAGAGGAATATTCACATTTCTGGACACTCTTATTCCTCAGCTCCCACCACACTGCCTTCTACCCATCTCTTTCACAAGTGTGATCTTCTCAGGTTCCTCTTTCTCTTTCCAACCCCTAAGTTCTCAGACCAACTCTTACTTCTCCCTTGAGTATACAGCCTAAGGTTTGAACTACCGCCCCTTTTGTGGGTCTGCAATTCTAATCCCGAGCCATTCCTTGACTTCAGATCCATATTTCCAATGGAGTTTCAACTTGCTCATGTTACTATTCTTCAAGGACTATACAATTCAACACACTCCAGCTAAACTCATTCATTTCTCTACCAAGCTTTCTCCTTTGACTGTCTTCTTGATTTCTGTTAACTGGATCACTAACTGGAGCCACTTTCTCTCTACTGAAGTACCAACCACCATGGACTCCAACTACTTAACTTTTCCCTTACACTTGAAGCTCCATCAATCAGCTGTGCTAAGACACAGCAGAAACTCAACATACTTGGAAAAATGGATGAATCATTTCAATCAATATGATCCAAACCTTTGAATCATGCCCAACTAATCGCTTGTCCTTCAAACATGTACGAAGTTCTGTCATATCTCTACAAAAGCTCTTGATTCTCTCCATGTACAAGACCATTATCCTTCATCAGATTTAAATGAAACTCCAAACCTAAACTACAACTGTCTCCTAACTGGCATAAGGTTCCTCCAGCTTTGTAAATGCTATTCTAACCACTTTACTCCTTAGCTCAGACACCTTCAATGGTTTACCACTGTTTTCAGAATATAGACCAAAGCCCTTAGTATGCTATCACTGCTGTCCACGTTTGGATCTTTACTATCTTTCCATCCTTATCTCCTACTACTCCTTATGTTCTAGTCCAAGGGTCAGCACACTACAGCCAGTGAACCAAACCCAGCCTGCTGCCTGTTTTTGCAAATACCATGTTTCCCCGAAAATAAAACCTACCCAAAAAATAAGCCCTAGCAGGACTTCTATGCATTTGTTAAATATAAGCCCTACCCCATAATAAGACCTAGTGATGGGCGTGGCTATGCATTTCAGGGGAGAGCAGTAAGGAAGACCGGAATACCTTTTATCTGCCACAGCTCCTTTCTCTGAGCCGTTGGCACTTGTGTGGGTACGTGTGTGGTAACCACGGTGGCAGGCATCCTATCGAGCACATGCGAACAGCTAGGGGAAAGGAGTTCACACATCACTAGCACCAGCCCCATCAACAAGGTTGGCTCCTCCTGTCAGGTTCCAGAAGAAGATGACTTAACTGTATTTGAATAAATGTAGATGGTTGTATATTAATAAAAATAAGACATCCTCTGAAAATAAGCCCTAGTGTGTCTTTTTGAGAAAAATAAATAGAAGACAGTGTCTCATTTTCGGGGAAAGATGATAAAGTTTTATCAGAACACAGCCATGCTCATTCATTTATGTATTGCCTGTGACTACTTTTGAGCTACAATGGAAGAGCTGAAACAGAAATCTTATGTCCTGCAAAACCTAGAATATTTACTATTTAGCTTTTTACAAAGTGTGCTGACCACTATTCTAACAGGATAATCAACTATTCCCTGAAAATGGCCTGTGCTCCCCACCACCCTTCCTTTGTTCATGCTGTTCCTATCTTTTCGAAAGACCTTCCCCTGCTTTTTTCCTATATTGTCCACATTCTTTTCTTTTTTTTGCAGTTTTTGGCCAGGGCTGGGTTTGAACCCACCACCTCCGGCATATGGGGCTGGCACCCTACTCCTTTGAGCCATAGGCATCGCCATTGTTCACATTCTTTAAGACCAGCTCAAATGCCACCTTTTTCATGAAGACTCCTGATGCTAAAGGCAAACTTCTCTGTGCTCACAGTAGAACATTTGTAACTTTTCTTCAGGTTTATCACACTGTGCCTGATATTACGATTACTAGTATAAGTGTATTTCTAATTCTATATTGTAAACCATCACAGTCACTGGCAACCCCCACAGAGCTTAACAGCACCTTGCTTTATATTTGTTGAAGTACAATGAACTCCTTCAAGCCCAAATATTGGGTTGAAACTAATGAGATAAAATTTAATAGGGAAGTATTTCTAAAGCTTCCATGCAGGTTTCCATATTCAATTGCATAAGACTTGACAGCTGCACATATGAGAGTAATTTAGAGCAGGGTTTCTCAAACTCAACATCAATGACATTTGGGGCTAGATAATTCTGCACTGTAAATAACAGTCTTTAGCCCCTACACACTAGACTCCTATAGCATGTAACCAGTATGAGAATCAAAAATGTGCTCTGGGGGAGCAAAATTGCCCTCAGTTGAAAACCACTACTCTAGAAATTTCCAAGTATGAGCTATAAGATATTTCTGTTGATAAGACATAGATTATATAGTAATTGTAGTACAGTGTCAGATTAAGAGATAAGAGCCAAAAAAAAAAAAAAAAAAAAGATAAGAGCCACACATAGTCAGTGCTAGCTGACTCATACTTGTGAGGCTGTGTTCAAAACTGGATTTTAAAAGTACTTTGGAAAACTGGATTTTATATAGTCAAAGGTGACCAGGCTGATGAGAGACTACAGAAAGTGTCATAGGAAGGATACTTAAGTAAATTGAGGTATTTAGCTTAACCAAGAGAAGATGAAGAGAAACCTGTTATCTTCAAATAGCTGATGGGCTATTCTGTTAGAAAAATGTTACTTAGGAAGGCAGATCTAGTACCAGTGGGCAGCATGTGCAGGAAGGCAGATTTAGGTTCTGTACAAGTAAAAACTTTGGAGTAATCAGAGCCAGCCAAAAAACTTCTTGGGCTAAGTTATGAAACACTGTTCTCTTATCATTCTGGAAGCGTTTCAATGGACACCCAGCAAATTGACGTTAGAGATGCTATAGGAAGATTCCTGCATAGGACAAGATGGTCTCCTAAGGTTCTTGCTAGCTCTGAGATTCCAAGACTAGCAAAGGAAAAGCCATATGCCACAAATAAGCCATACGTACAAGCCATGTGCAATTTCAAGACTTTGATTAGAGCAAAAGAGAAAAATACTTTGCCAAATAATTTGCCCTATTTATGATTGATAACAACTTACATTTACTCTCTGGCACTGTAACTACCAGTGACCTATTTTTTTTCTAGACAATGGATATCACTACCTTTGAACTATAACTTTTCTTCTGCTAATAATAACTACCAGTATAATTTGTAAATGCTTTGCAGTTTTCAAAGCATCCCAATGTGCATTACTTTACTCACAGTAGCTAAAGGATAAACATGAAAACTTATTTTAGATAACCTGTCCTCACTTGCTGCCTCTTGCCTGAATCTTATGAAAGCTAGCAGATGTTCATCTCCAAAACAAATCACTTATACACAACCCAGAGATATTTTAGCATCAGCAACATGGATTTACTTCAGTGAAATTCTATTTTATTCTGATTTGGAGAAGAAAATTTGAGAAATTCTAACTTAGTATTCTCAAATTTCAAGTGGCTACACAAATGAAATTTCCAGAAAGCAGTCACAATAAAACATGAAGCAAAACTATTTTAGCTCCTAACCCCAGGGATTCTTTTACTCCTCAGCTACAACTACCAATAAGAATGTGTAAGGACTTGCCCCCAAACCAAAATGGGCCCTCACTCACTGCTTTACTTACTTCTTTACGTTTCGTTTCTGGACATTCCGACTGCAGAGTGAGGGTTGCACCTTCGATATTTCGTGGCATGGGCGTGGAACCAGGGTTTATTGTCAAATGAATCTGATCTGGTGAGATAATGTGTTGCACATAACCCTGGGACATTGCTTCATGATCTATTAAGTGAAAGCCCTCTTCACCCCCTACGAGAAAAGGCAAGTGTTCTCCACACTGTCCATCGTCATCTTCATCCTCCAAAGTGCCAGAATCCTGCTCAATCAGAACAGTGGTCCTATCATAAACAGTTCCAGATGAGGAAGGCACCAGTCCATTTTTATCCACAAACCTGAGCATCTTATCATCAGGGGTCAGCTCATCTTCCTCTGGCTCAAAGTAGATGATGTTGTCTTCTGGACTGTGTTCCCCCATGGTTCAGTTGTGCTCAGCCCAATTGTGAGAAATGAAAATGTAATGACCTGTCTGCAATAGAACAAAGCCAGAGTTAGACCCATACCACAATACCCACGGACCTCCTCAGAAACCTCAGGGCTTGTTTTCTGTCTCATTTAAAGAGCAAGCTGGTGGTGGTGCCTGTGGCTCAAAAGAGTAGGGCCCTGGCCCCATATGCAGGAGGCAGTGGGTTCGAACCCAGCCCCAGCCAAAAACTGAAAGAAAAAAAAAAGAGCAGTCCAGAGAAAATGGAAAATCATTGCCATGGAAATAATTTTTTGTATCTTAATTTTGAAACCATTAAGCTATTTTGAAGGAAACGCAATGCCATATTGAAGTAGTATGTAGCAATTCATAATAGTTCACAGACTTTATAAATGTGCCTTGCTGTCAAACAATTCAAAGACTGGTTAAAATACCTAAAGCGAACAAAAGAGCAAAGAGAACAGCGGCCACTTCAAAATTGAGCTGCTATAAATGTTAATGTATGAAAACCTCACTGAAATATCCCCCCAAATCATACCATGAAGCAGTACATGGCCTCATGTAGACCATGGCGGAAGGAGCAAGGCTTTAGAAACAGTCATGTACCTACAAATCTGGAATTTGGTCTTTACTATTTAGGTATTCTATGCCTCATTTTTCTTAGGGTAAGGTGGGATTATTAATTCCTGTTCTCTCAAAGTTAAGAGGAATAAAACAGATAATGCATGTTAAGCACAATGTTGACAAACAGTAGAGGAACAAGTGTGAATTCCTCTCTTGTAGAACAGATGTTTCAATCTCTGGGTGGAGAGGCTGATCCCTAATCAAGCACAACTAATGACGATCACTGTATCTATTTATCTCCTAAAACAATAACCTGTTGGCCAGAATGTATGTAGTGTTGTGGGCTCTTTGCCCGGAGGGAATGCATCTATTGCCTTTTGTTTCTATAGCTTAGTAAACTGACACTAGTAATTCAGAAAATATCAGCTAAATATATGAAAGATATAACAACATACTCTCTCAGGATGATATGCACTTCTTGATAAAAATACAAAATTTGAAGTTTTAATGCTATGAAATAGTGATTCTTCCTTCACCTGCAAACACACAGGCTCTACAAATGTGGATTTGACCAATAGAACAGAGAATTTTAAAATTCTCAGCACATCACTTTTAGTTTTCAGTCTGGCTTTGCACGTTATCTTTCTCTTCTATTCCGGGTTAGAACGTGAGCCTTTACCTAGTGGGGCGGCTAGACAGAGAGGTAGTTACAAGAGACAGGCCAAAGGATCGGATCCGGGAGGAACCGGCCCAACTCCTAGCTCTGGCTTACGCAACCCATAGATGCACATTTCGCTGCATCTGAGAGGAGAGATAAGAGCACCGAGGGCCCCATTAGGCTACCCCGACACCATCGGTGGCAACGCAGAGACCAACTGTCCGGAACAAACAAGACCAGGAGATTTGAAGGAGGCCAACGAAGAGTGAGAAAGGAGCACCCTCGAGAGGAGGCTGGGAAAAGGAACCTGTCTGAGGCAGCTTCCAGCCCAAGGCTACACAGAAAAATCCGAAGACGAGCTGGGGGGCTCTCAGCACCGCGAAGAGGGGCAGGGTCTGGGTCTCCATGGAAACAGGAGGGGGGCTGGATACCCATCCCCATGGAAACCGAGGAGGGGTGGGGTCCCCATGGTGACCAGAGCGAGGCTTCTATTGGGAAATGCTTCAGGAGGGAGCCTAAGTCTCATACCCCCCCGGACAGTACCAAGCCCAAGCCAAATCTACTTTAGCCTTTTACCTCCGCGGATCCCGGCAACGGCGGCAGCAGCAGCTTCTCCCCTCCCCAGCGGCACCATGATTGCCCCCACCTTCGCCGAACGTCACTTCCGCTTCCGCTTTCCGGAGGAAGGAGGAGACAGCGGCTCCGCCTGTCCCTGGCGCTTCTGGTTGGCTTAAGGGGTCTGGGGGCTGAGCTCCAGCATCCAATTAGCGAGCAGGAGGGGCGGGGCGGGGCGCCGCGGGTACACAGCCCGGGAGGTGAGTTCGCCTGGCTCAGGCAAGTGCCGCTGTCTTTACCCGGCCGCTCCAGACCTTAGGAAAAGCGAACAAACTTCCAAGCACTAATTCCAAATTATCGTTAGCCTGGTTTGCACTGGCCACCCTCGCTCTGGCAGCTGCACCTGCACCAGCAAGGACCTTTTCCCAGTCTCCTCTCAAGGGCGCTCCCTTCGCACGCCACAGTTAGCCACCAGAATCCCGGCTCGGACCCGCAAGAGCCTGGAAGGCTGCGACGTTCCTGGTTTTCTCCCTCTAGGACCCCCAGTTCACCCTCATTACCCATCAAACTTAACAGGCAGTTACAACTAAAGAGGATTAGACCCCAAAAGGCAGAACTAGGAGTATTACAAGCCAAACAGACAGAACGTTCTCGCCTCTTCCACTTCTCACATGCTTTCATAAAACCCCCTATTTCCTTTCTCTACACACTCCTTTTCAGGCAGGCTGTCCTAACTTTTTCCCCCTATAGATGATTCTCGACTTCGACAGGACTTGTACCGGGCCAGTTGACGCCACCTACTGGCCATTCCCTTCCTTGAGCTATTCACGCCGTCCTTTCACACTGCCCTTACAAGTAGTGGCATTCGAACGCCCAAGTGAATGCCCAAGTAGCGATTTTGAGTGTTCCTTTATTATGCATCTCTCTTTTCTAAATGCCTGGAAGATCTAGCTGTTAGGTCCTCAGCAGCCACTGCCTGCCTGGGAGATCTAGCTGTTAGGTCTTCAGCAGCCACTGCCTGTTTTTCCCATAAACTGCTTTTCTAGAATATTCAGAGTGAGACAACCACAAAGATTAGATCAGGGTTAGGGATTCAGGCCATTGTTGTACCATCCACCAGACTGCCAGGCATAGGTCTCTTTGACCCCTGACCAGCTGTCCCAATGCTTAAGCCATAAAAGTCCAGTTGCAGAAAGATGTCATCTTTCAAGATAAAAACATACACAACAACTGCTGTTAAAAATACATTTATCATCAAAATATATTACAAATATGAGAAAGGGGATGCATCATATACAGTTTGGAGGATTTGTTGGCCAAGAAAATCTCACTTGTTTTATCAGAACAGCCGTTTCCTTCAGTGTTTCCATTTTTAAACCACTGTATTGCCTTCATAGGCTGCATGGCCTTATCCAGGTAGGAAGAGTGGTATAATCTGCATATACAAGTGTATTCAAACTGAGCACTGGAAGCACTTGGGGGAAGCCATGGCCTGTTTATCCAGCAGTTTCCACTTGCATTCTTGCTGTCCATCTCATTATCCTTTCAGGACTCCAAGGTCTGTTCAAATATCTGACCACGGGGAGCTCAGCCCAGGTCACAGGGAAAGTACTAACTATGCCCTGGAGGCAGGTTGAGTAAACAAAAGTATAGTTACTTTTAAATTTTTAAATTAAAAAAAAAGAATATAGATCTATCTGTGTTAAATAATCAAAGTTAAACATCAAATGTCAGTTTCATTGTGGTGGATTTTCCCCATGTCTTCACAACTCACAGTAGCACTGAGTGTGCTAGGCTCAGGAAACAGACAGCTGCCAATCTTCTTTCCAAGCGGCCTCACATAATCTTACAGCATCTCTTCAGCTGGAACAGGTAGAGCTGGTAATTGGCTGCCTTGAGTAAAACAGAGGTGGAGATAAAGAGGCTCAAAGTGGGTTGCAGAGGAATTGGTGAATAAATTCTTGAGCCTTCTTCTTCTCTGTCATTTCATGCTTTTGATTACCAGCTGGGTTTCGAAGCAGTAAGCTGCCAAATATGCTAGCTGCATGGAAAAAAAAAACAGAAAATAAAGAATTCAGCAAAAGAAGGTATTTAAGCTGGGTGCAATGGTTCACACCTGTAATCCTAGCACTTGAGAGGCCAAGGCAGGTGGATTGCCTAGCTCATGAGTTTGAGACCAGCCTGAGCAAGAGCAAGACCCCATCTCTACTAATAGAAAAACTAGTCGGGCATTGTTATAGGCTCCTGTAAGTCCCAGCTATTTGGGAGGCTGAGGCAAGAGGATTGATTGCTCAAGCCTAAGAGTTTGAGGTTGCTGTGAGCTATGACATCATAGCACTCTATCCAGGGTGACAGAGTGAGACTGTCTAAAAAAAAAAAAAAAAAAACCAGGTTTGGTGCCTATAGCTCAGTAGTTAGGACACCAGCTATACATACCAGGGCTGATAGGTTCCAGCCTAGCTCAGGCCCGCCAAAAATTAATGACAACTATAACAAAAAAATAGCTGGGCATTGTGGTGGGCACTTGCAGTCCCAGCTACTTGGGAGGCTGAGGCAAGAGAATTGCATAAGCCCAAGAGTTTGAGGTTGCTCTGCACTGTGACATGACAGCACTCTACCAAGGGCAATATAGTGAGACTCTGTCTCAAAAAAGATGGTGTCTCACTATGTTGCCCAGGTTGGACTCAACCTCCATGTGCCACTGTGCCCTGTCCCTAGAAGGTTGTCCTATGACTTTCAGCTTTCTTGGGGCTGAGTGATATAAAGAGAAGGTCTTCTTGCTATTTCAGCATGGCCCTTCGCCTCCTCCTCTGCTGTTTCCCTGTGCTCCTGCATCTGGAGGCTCTCTTGTTCTACTCTTTTGCAGAATAAGCCTGTCATCTCCTGCTATATTGAGGAAGGGTGGCACTACAAAATAAAAAAAAAATAAAAAATAAATTAGCCAGGACTGCGTGTGGTGGCTTATGTTTATAATATGAACACTCTGTGAGTCCGAGGCAGGGGGAATCCCTTGAGCTCAGAAGTTTGACACCAGATTGATCAAAAGCAAGACCCTATCTCTACTAAAAATAGAAAAAATTAACCAGGCATTGCAGCAGGCACCACTAGTCCCAGCTACTTTCAGAGTGCAGGAGTTTGAGGTTGCTGTGACCTAGGCCAAGGCCATGAATTTTAGCCTGGGGCCACAGAATGAGTCTCTATCTCAAAAAAAAAAAAAATACAATGGGGATATGTTCTGAAAAATGTATCACTGGATGACTTTGTCATTGTGGGAACATCATAGCGTGTACTTACACAAACCTGGATGGTCTAGCCCAGTGGTTCTCAACCTTCCTAATGCTACAACCCTTTAATACAGTTCCTCATGTTGTGGTGACCCCCAACCATAAAATTACTTTCATTGCTACTTCATAACTGTAATTTTGCTACTGTTATGAAACATAACAGAAATATCCGATATGCTGGATGGTCTTAGGCGACCCCTGTGAAAGGGTCGTTTGACTCCCAAAGGGGTCGCGACCCTCAGGTTGAGAACCTCTGGTTTAGCCTAATGCATACCTAGGCTCCATGGTATAGCCCTAGGTTACAAACCCATACAGAATGTTACTGTACTGAATACTGCAGGCAACTATAATACAAGGCAAATATTTGTGCATCTAAAGGCACCTAAACACAAAAAAGGTACAGTAACAATAGTATAAAATAGTCTTATGTGTCAGGATCTGCTTCTGACACCAGTTGTCAGGGCCAGGCCGGGCTTGGGTAAGGTTCCAGACGCGGACCACTAAGCTACCTTTGCTCAGGAACAAAGCTGAGGTACCTTTGTAGGAGGACCACTCAGCTACCTTTGCCCTCTTAGTTGCCTGAGGGCTATCTACTTTAGCTGGAGAGAGAGAGTGTGTGTGTGTGTCTTAGAGAGAGTAAAGCAGTTTTCTTTTCTTTTTTTTTTTTTTTT